AATAAATAAAAATCATAAATAGTAATAAATAAAACAATAGTTCCAAATTGGAAATCATCACTCCAACAATGATAACAGAACAATGGGATATCATCCATTTGCAACCTCATTCCATCTGCCCACTAGTAGACTATTAATCTGATAAAACATATTTACCAGACATTAAGTCTCTTTCCAAATAACTTGACATTGTTAAGATGTGTGACAGCTCTTTCCACTGCATACTCATCACCCATTTCAACCAGTGCCGTGCCTGGAATAGTCTTCATAAATTTCACCTAAGATAGATAAGGGAAAAAATGACATTGCAACAAACAGCCCAATCCAGAGTTTTGTAAGTTGTTAGGAGATATTTTTAGACCATCTCAGACAGGCTTCTTCCAAAACAATTAAAATTACTATAGTAGCCTCCAAGTTTCTAATAAGTTATGCCTTACCTTCTCAATGTTTCCATACAAGCAGAACAGGTTGAAGACCCTTGAGCAGTTCATCTTTAGCTGATGCAACCCACTAACCATGACAACTGACCCAGAAGGATTTCCACCATGCATGTAAGAGGAGGATGCCTGGGGCAACGGGTAAGCAACAAGTTCCGGAGTGTCCCGAGATCCCATTCGGTAGCGGCTAGGCAAGGGCAACAAAGGACCATGTGACCCTAAGGAAACGAAAGGCCATGCTTTCATATTGTTTGAAACAAGTTTCACTACTTAATCATGCATTAAAGCCCACATACCTAACACACAGTTAAAGGAGGGGGAGGGAACAACATTACCGCAGTTTCCACTAATTCTTTTCCCAATTTAAAAACAAACAAACAAAAAAAACCCCAACCTCTTCCATTGTCTTTAATGTTCCAAGTCTCCTCTTACAATACAAGAAGGGAGGAGCTGTTTCATGGTACTGTTTTTATATACAAGTGAAAAAAGGTATTTCAGTAATTATTTTACTGATGGTTGAATTACAGGTTATACTCCTTCAAATTATTTTTCTTAAAAATAGTATCTTCCCTGCACCATACAAAATATTTTAACATAAACCTATCAGAAGAAACATTTAAAATAAACCTTCAGCAATATTGCTGTATCCACTTCTAGAGCTACATGACACCAAGAAAGAATATTACAAAGTAGGGGAAAGAAAACAAGCAAAAGGAGTGAACTTTTAGCCAGAGGTCAGGAGAGGAGATGACACAGCTCTTTTCCAGAGACAAGACATTTAGTCAGATGACTGCCTTTCTACAAAGAGCTCATGTGGAAGAAACAGGAATACTTAAAACCCTGCATTAATGCAAAATGAAGCTGTCCTATTTTCCATTACGGGTAAAGTGACAAGATTCATTGAAATAAAGTTTCTCGGTGGGTGGGGTTTTTTTGTTTTGGTGTTTGTTTTGGGGTTTTTGGGGGGTTGTTTTTGGTTTGTTTTTGGTTTGTTTTTTAATAAAGAGACATTACTAGTATGCAATACTTCTGTTTATAGAAAACATCAGTATTGCAGACCAAGGAGAGGATCCCTGTTCTTCTGAGATAAAAATAATGTGAAATTCATAAAAGCCAAATAAGTATAAAAGGAACCTTTTGTCCATTTTTCCCCAGCAAAAAGCAGTAATGAGAGGGACACAGTAGTATAGGAGGAGACAGCCACATTACTTAAGGTAGAAGGGTATATCAGAAGAATGAAAAAAAGAACACCAGTGAATACAAGGTGGAACTTGGAAATTCTGGAGATTTGAAGAACCTTTGGAAAGAGTAGGTAGAAGGTCAACCTACATTGTAAAATATCATAAATACATTTGCAAAAAAAAAAAAAAGAGGCAAGACAAATCTTATCGCGCCCGACAGTTAAGAGAGTAAATAACTAGAAAAGTCACATCTAACTGGGGACATTAGTTTCTCAACCCTGAGATCTTGCTCCAACACATGAATGTGACATCAGATCTTCATTTACAGATAGCACTGGTAACAACTGCAGCACTTCATAGCACTAATTCCAAAACATCATTCTTATATAGTCACATAGCTATACTTTTTCAGAATTAGCTAAATTAGTAGAAACACAAAGCCCACAATTGACAGTTCTGCATGCAAGAGCATCAAAGAGCTCTGTGTTGCATCAAACCATTGATCAAGCTATGCTGCCATTTTCTAGAAGAAAACTGCTTTCCCAGTAGAGATGTCATTTTTCATTCATTGCTAGGGTGATGGCAACTGAAAGGAAACAACCTTCCAAGGAATACGTTTGTAGAGCCAGATGCTCTCTGTGAAAGGAAGAGGTATGGCAACAAATGCACACGGATTTCAGTGAATCACTAGCATTTTCAGAATGTGGACTGACAGCAGCACACGTACAGCACAATAGTGAACTACTCATGCTGTAGGCGTCCATAGTAAAGCTTTGATTTAATATTTAGAATTCCACGTAACATGTAAAGAAATTGTAACAACCTGTCATCCTATGTTACTTACCATAACCATCATGTCTAAATGATGATGGGTGCTCTCCCAAAATAGCTTGCCTCTGGCGGCCCTTCCCTCTGTCTAACATGTGGGAAGGGAAAGAAAATGGTTTAGAATGGACAAGTATGCACTTGATTTCTCCAGTTAAGACACAAAGCTTCTAGTTAAGAAGCAAAAAAGTAATTTGAGTTGAGTCCTTGTTAATTTTATAAATGATTTCTCATTCATTATACGTCTAAAACCACAAGCTGTAGCCCTGGCACACCAAAATTAAAATACTGCCATCTGTATAACATATTGCACTTAAGTTGATTTGGGGCAGTGGCCAATGAGGAGATGCAGACATTTAAAAGTTTACGGACATACCCAATAGCACCACACAGTAGTATAGATAACATCGTACAGCAGGATTTACCTATCTGTCTTTTAAAACAAATTTGAAATGCAGTACTTTTGAAAGACAGTACCTGAATCATAATATTAGCTTCAACAGCAACACATTTTCAAAGTGGGCTTCTTTCAAGAAGTTTCAGCATAAGCCAACAACAACCTGTATTACATGGTTTCATAATCAGTAAACAGAGAGCATTACATATGTGTACATATATATTTACAGAACACCTACTGATTTATGGGCGTGCTGAAAGGACTGTACATTATTGCATTATCAGCAGCACATAACAGTTCAACTGAAGAAAAACATCACTGAATAATGCACTTAATCAACGTTCAATCCTTTAAGAAAACCCAGGATATAAAGTTCTCTAGGATATAAAGTTAAGCAAGGGGTCTACATTACTGGAGGAAAGCAGTGCATCACAGCCAAAGCTGTATTTTCTAATCAGATCCATGCTGCGTGACAAAGAAAATCTAAACTTCCAGATTTCTTTGTGGTAAGCAACAATTGATTTACCACAATTAAAAAAGCCACACTGAAAAGATGGGGCAAGACATGTATCAGTTTACAACAGTTCCCAGGAAATTTAAGTATGACTACTGAAAATGGCAACTCCAGCCCAGTGCAGCTGGAGGTATTTCCCCTGAAAAGCAGGAACTATTTGCATTAGACAACTCAACAGTGGGAGATGAAAACACAGGTGCCCTTTCTGCTCAGGATTTTGAGGACAGGTTCCAAGTCAGATATTTACTTTGACAATAAAGTCTGAAGAGAGAACAGTGCTAAATGCCTTCAAATACATAAAAGAAACATTACTTTGGTCAAGTTTTGGTTTTCCATTCCCTTTTCAGGGTAACAGCTTGGTTCTTGGCTCTAGAAAGCAAATGGGCAGTCATATCAAAGATTTTGAGCATTTAAACTGTATGCAGTAATCATCTTTCAGAAAAATCAAGTTTATAATTCCAGTCTGTGGAGCTAAATCCTCTGAAACTGCACACAGTAATATAGTAAAGGACTGTATTCCTCAAATAAGCAATTCTGAAAGAACACAGTTTGACAACTATTTCCTCCTCATGATGGTGTCACCAACTGCTCTCTCCTTGTCCCATACTTGTTCCTTCCTTGAACAAAGTCCCTCAATTGTGCCAGTACAAATACTCATGCAACAGGCACTGAAATATGAGAACTGATCTATGTTAAAAATAATTCTGAAAGGAAAGATTGTTTATAATCTAGTTTAAGTTTGGGGGTGTTTGGTTTTTGGTTTTGTTTTTAAATCAGGTCCTTGAGTCACTGTGTATGCTGGTGTTACTATCAAAAGACATGTTCCAAACTACAGTTTGAACTTTCTGGCTAAAAGCAAGCAGAATACTGAAAGTCAGGTGGGTTTTTTTGGTTCAATCTAATGCAACATCCGTTCATAGCAGCAGGCACTTGTTAGAAAGTTTATTTAAGTGGAGAAATACTATGGGGAAATCTGTAGTTTGTTACTATAAAGAACTACAACCAGTTCTTTAAAAAAAAATCATTAGCAAAATGCATTTCTTTCATAATATTTGAGAGGGTGTGTGTGAAATTCTGAAAGGATCTATTAGCATGCCTGTCCTCAGAATGAAATTCCTTTGGGTTAAGATCTTGTTTGCTGCAGTCAGACCCTTACAGTTCAGGTAACATTAAGTTCAAAATCCAAACAATGCTGCTGAAGCATTGAAGCAAAAATACGAAAACTCTCTTTCAAGAAAACAAACAAACAAACAAACAAGTCCTGGATTACTTTATGGGCAAAATTGCTCTAGATGCCTGCTTTCTCCAGTACATTTCAGTGTTCATTCAACAATTTATATTCTCATTTTCTACATAAATAGATGTGCGCACAGTAAATGAAAAACTGTGGTACATACAATATAGCACCATATATATATAATACAAGTCTAATTCTTTTCCTCTAATATGTAGTAGAGTGATGTATAGAAAATGAGGGACAGGCTGTCAAAGTAACAAAAGGAAAACAAAAGAGCACAGTGAGAGTTCTTGAGAAAGAGCAAGGTGTATCTTTCCTAAGTTTTTCATTTTCCACTGTTTTCTCTAGCTCTGGGAACATTTAGTTCATACAGCCATATCTATCTGCAGACCAATTACGTAATGTAATTAGATGCGTAATGTTACTAATCAGCCTCCAAACACTGCAATGATCAAAAGATATGAGGGTCAAATTAATCCTTCAGATTTTTCAAATTCAAACCTTCAGATTTTTTTTCTTGCCCTTGACTTTCTTTAAAATCCCTTTTTTAACTAAGGAATTTGAGGAAAAAAAAATTGAATCCTGATACAAATAGTCATAATGTGCAAGCTGCAACCAATACTGTAGCTCCCTTGTTAACTTTTTACAAGAAGTTCATTTTGAAAATTCAAGCCCTAAGTTTTTAGTGATACAACAGTTTTTTTACAAGACCAGTGTCTCTGCAGAATTACTCTGAAAGTACGTATCGCTTGAGATGGCCAAAGTCCTGGTTCTCATATAGCCTTTGATATGTAGATACTCTATCTTGGACACATTGTCTTCACTTCTCTAAATTTACATTACACACATTATTGTACATAAGTTACTGAACACTGCACTCCATAATTACAGATTATGTTTTTTAAAATAAACACTTTACAGGAGTTAGGCTACACAGCAGTTTGTCTTTACATATATAGTAATAGTTTCCACTGACATGAGTTAAGCTCTGGTAATTTTTACAGCTGAGTACTTAAGAGACAGTATGCCTGTACCAATTATGAATCTCCCTATTTTAATACTTAAATATAACTGCGGGGACCTATATGATATTGCACTGCTCAGTTCCAACTATCTACAGGTAAGGATTAAATTTCCCTACTACTAGACAATATTTACACTGTTAAGACTGAATGAAACTCTCACATACAGCAAGTAATAAAAAGATTACAATGTCAATGATATCAACAAGAGAGGTTCTTAATTTTGGAGGTTGTCAATTTTTCAGTTGTAATTTTAAGGGAAGTAAGACCAGCACATATACAAACTTGAACAGAATGGGTACAGTCTATAATGTTATTCATCCCATACAAATCTGAAGTACTGAAAGTGTCCTCCTTTAAAAACTTGTGGTGGTGGTGCATGCAGTATGCAGACAAGGTGAATTGCAAGTCTGAGTTTTTTCAGAGGGTTTTTTTTGGGGGTTGTTTGGTTTTGGTTTTTTTTTTTTGCTGATGCCGATGTGGTGCATGATGAAGTGTAGAGTCAGCCTGCTGAAGTCCTCTATCCTTCTTAATGCCTCGTCCAACATAGGGGAAAGGAGTCCTTTCGAAGGAGAAGCAGTGTGCAAGTTTGTAGTTTGTAAGGAATAGTCTGTACCAGGTTTCCTCTCCTCCAAAGAGAGAGAGCTGCTTGGAGAAATGCAAGTCCTTGAGAACTGCGAAGGTGCTTGCAGGTGTGGGCTCCTTGTTGAACTAAGTGGCTCAAGCACACGGCAGTAGGGGGCACTAGGGCTCAGGGTTAACTTCCTGGCTTGTGAACACAGCCTTCAGCAGCACTGGCTTGCTTTGAAATGACTATTGCCATACAGCCTGACCATATATAAAGGATTGTCATTAGTACAGTCAAAGATCTACAGCAATAACATATGAAAACCTACCTCGTCGGCCCAGATACGGTTTAGTGTAGTCCCAACTATCATTGTCGTTTCTAATGACATTAAGTCGAGTTGGCTGTTCAAATAAAGTAAAAGTGAAAGAGGTTAAGTCTTGATTATATATTTTTTTCTAGTAAAAGTAAAAGAGAAGGTCCAAGCATTACCCTTGCATATTCAATTTTTAGTGTGCAGCATCCTGCATAGATATCTGCTCCATTGAGTGCAGCCTTCGCCTTCTGGGCACAAAATACCGATTCAAACATACAGAGCATGTTAAGGATTTTTTTCCCCAGGTGTCTCATCCATGTTTCTTTCTTCTGACATGGCTTTATTTTTGTAGCCTGCAGATATTTCACTATTGTATACCTTACAAGAACTCTATACAGACTTTAATATAAAATTCTCAACAAGTATATATAGATTCAACTACTAAGCATCTGGTTTTGATATGTAAGCAGCATGTGATGAGACTATTCATAAATTAGTAAATTCTTCAGTATGGATTATATAGATGCAAGCTTTGTGTATGCTCTGAGTTTAGACTGTTTGGAAGGGGATGTTCTGGTGGATTTAGTAATTTTCATCAGAGGACACAGAAAGTTAGCACCAAGCCTAGAGAATATTTGAAGGGAAAGCTCAAACTGCACCAGAGCTTGGGGGCGAGAAGGTGTGACTTAAGACAAAGCATCCCTTCTCACAGCTAGCATTAGCTAGAGACTCGTGGGTAGGGAGAACATGAACTCAGCAGTTACCTTACAGTGAAAAGAATCAAGAAAGAGTACGCCCTTTTTAGCTGTTAGCCAAATAAAACCACAGAACTAAGAGAGAGACTTTGAATGAACAAATAATCATCTTGCATCAAAAAATACAAGCAGCAGTTTGCTTCAAATCCACTGCTCAAGGCAGAGGCATGTACCAGGCTCCAACATGCAGGCTATTTCATATCCTCTACATACTCCAAGATTAGTTCTATGACCAGCAGAAAACGGCACCTGAGCCTTGGCACATGACAATCCACAATCTCATACATACTCAATAACATACGGTGTCAGAAAGCCCAAACCTTGCAGCAGAGCAGACATTTTGCACCATCCTTTGATATAATTTAGTGAAATTTTGGAAGTAGTCTGTCTAAATAGTATATCCCTTGTTTTCTACCTTTCTCCAGCCCAACTTCTTCCAAGGTGATGTAGGTTCACTGTGGAATTTAAAAGTGAGAAAAGTTAAGCTACCCAGATCCCTAAGAAATTGTTTGACACTGGCTAGAACTGTGGAAGCACATCTACAAAAGTAATGGTATTGCAATTAGCAGTGAAGTTTGAGTAAATTTTTGAACTTTTCAGACAAGGCTTGTCTTTAAGCTCACTACTACCCCCCAAACTGTTTGCCTACATTGCTGCATTACTTTGCTCACGTTTGTGAGTTTTCTTTCAATTGCTGGTTGTTTTTATTTTTAATAAAAAATATATTGCAGAATTTAATTCAAAGGACAGAAGTATGATAGTTTCAGAGTACATGCAGGATTCTTCCCACAACTTCCCTAATTTTTCACAAGATGCAAAATAACCCCAAACTGTACAAGTCATCGGCCCCAAACAACACCACTTACCACAAACGCAACACACTATCACAGTAAGTCAAACTACTGTTAGTCAGGACACACAGTTTAAGTATTCTACATAGATAAACAGCAATTAGTTTGCTTTTATGGAAGTCAGGGTAATTCTTTTTCCCTGGCAAATCATCAATGCAGCCACCAGTTAAGTAATATGTTACAGAAGTGACCCATTAATAAAGCCTGCGACATTGGTAGCATCTGAAATCACAAAATAATTTCTGAGATTTTAGTACAATTTTTTTTCCAGATAACAGCTGAGAAATAGAAGGTGATCAGTCTCTATGAAGAGGGCTATCAGAGTTTTATAAACTAAGGTGTAATCATATCAGACTTTGGACTTTGCAAACCGCAGTAACACATTAACAACTTCAACGTTCATCCCATATACAACTTAATGCTACAAATACAGTAAACAGTAGGATAACAGACCAAGGAAATTCCTTGACACATGATAAACAGGTCAAGGAGGCCTAAGTTAGTCTTGTGCTTTATTAAAGTCAGAATAGTAACACAGCAGTATATATGAGAACTATTTTTTAAGAGTCTGAAGACGACAAACTGCACCTCTGCAAACCCATTTATTGAGTATCATCAGAGAGAATCCATGAAACTTTTGTTTATAATGCATTGTCATATCTATGACATATTTCATGTCTGCAATACCAGCCTTAGGGTCACCTATAAACATGGTTATCAAGACCATTGTTGACAACAATGTTGCCAACATTGCTGGCAACGCGTAAGTGCTATTTTGTCTTGTAGGCATATAGAAACTAGAAGTTACTATGTCTTACATAGAAATTAAAGAATAATTTGGTCTCAAAATTACACAGTATTTTTCTGAGATTCTCATGTTAAATCCCACCTGCAGTCAAGAACCTACGGGGGTGGCGGGGGGGGGAGGAAATCACACTCAAAAAGGATATTCAACCATAGCTTGTATTCCATTTCTCTTGAATATAACAATGCGCTGAACTTTTCCAACAGGGTTGCACACAGTATACAAGACATCCTAAGGAAGAAAAAAATATTTGTCAGATGTGACATTGTTAACACTTTAGGTCCACAGAATATTTTCTTGTGTTGGCATCTAAATGAAAAGAAAAGCAAAGCAAAGGTTTGTTAACTTTTCACTTATAACTTTCCCTATGCAATTCATACATTTATGATTAGCGTTTTTATGGATCAATACAGCACAGGCAGTCAAATCTGAAAAAAAGGAGAAAAATTCTACAAGAAGTACTCACGCAAACATTAGTTTAACAAGTATCTCCAATTGTGTTAAAACACAGTAACTGCATCCATGTCTCCAGCTGTGCTCCCTTTTAAGCATGCACTGCAGTAGTTGCACCAAAGCAGAGAGACAAACTGACACTGTAGTTACAGCACATTTCATTTTATAAGACTCTAGCAGCTGAGGGGTTTTTTTAATTGTTCATGTTCATTTTCAGAAGAGTAATCCAGAGTAGTCCATAATGTAAGCTTAGGTAGTTTATCAAAAGGAGAATTTCAATCATATTCACCTGAATTGAAGACACTGCAAGTGGTTGCTGTGCTTCTCCACTTAAGGCAGAGAAAACTTCAGACAGGAAACACTGGATTAATGCAAACTCATTGTTAATGCTCTGCTTTCATCAGCATTTGGCTATATTATATGGAACCAATAAAATTCAAGACCATCTTCAGTGCCGCAGGGGAATCGAACAATAAGGAGAAAAGCTCGCCTTACTGCACATCAGGCCAGGCTACTGATGTGGTGCAAGGCGTATCTCAAACAGTCAAGTACACATAATAACTCAGACATCATGGTACCAGAAAAGAGTCTCCAGCATTAATCTGGCCAAGAAAAATAGTTTGTTTTAGAGTGGTCATACACCCATACTCAGAAGTCCCGAGACTCAGGCTTGAGGACCTGAACAAACAGGAACTCTGATTTCTTGAAACAATTCACCTGTTAGATCATGTTCAAACAGCTAAAAGCTAACCCTAGCAGGCAAAGGCACTGGCATCTCAGTGAAACACTCCACCACAATCTATTTTTCCCTTCCTTTCTTTATATCTAAACCAAATACTTCCAAAATGCTCATTCTAAGATCTTAGTGAACATCCTCAGGTTTATTTGGGGGAGAAGGGGGAAAGGAAGTAGGTATAGTATTTATTACTATATTCTGCAGAATAGCAGAGTAAGTGGGAGGCAAAAGGTTGGGGGGGCATGCTGGAGTTCTTAAAAAGAAAACAAACACACACACAACAAGAAACTAGAAAAAGAAGATGTCTTAACGCTGGCTACAGTTGCAGTGGTGTAACTCCTGACTTACATAAAGTACCATAAGCTTTAATATATGGGCTTATTACCACTAAAAAAAAAAAAAAAAAAAACAAAACCTCAACCACAAACCAAAAACACTGTCCATGCTCAGGGGCCTTGCTATACACACTCCAGAGTGTTTTCCATAGCTAAATGAGTAAGCAGAGGAGATTGTCAACCTTAAGTTTTCAGAAGATGGGCACATTTTTAGAAAGGATTCAAGCAGCCTGAACCCCTAAAAAATATTATTTATGAGATCATTTATACCTATATTTTCTATGCACACTCAATAGCACAAACAGCTGCCCTCCATCTCCTCTTTTTTGGGAAACAAGAGTCCTGAAAACTTTTGAACTCCAGATGACATTATTTTTCAGGCATATGATGTTCTTTCACAATTTGTCTCACAAAATATTTCTTCACAGTCACTTAATTTTAAAAAAAAAAAAAAAAAAAAAAAAAAAAGCTCTACTCAAAATGCCATCAGTGTCAGTTAGCCAGCAGGCACACATAAGGGCTTTTCTTCTTTTAAATTCAACTACTTTAGACTACCAAATCAATCAAGTGATTTACAAGATACAATAACATGGGATATTTCAAATAAAAAATTAACACTAGCACCATATACGTACTAGAATATCATAAGAAAGGAGGTGCAACAACCTAATGTCAGAACAATTTGGTAGTTAAGTTTAAATCATTTCCATTGCCAAGGCATACCACGCCTCCTCATGCATGTACAGAAGGTTTAGAAGGTAAGTGAGAACTAAGAGGCAGAGGTATAGCTGAATGGACAGACTGCTGCACCAGGGATCACTTTGAGAAAGTCTGTTTGAACAGACAAATTTGTCTGTTCTTACAGACAAATCCCCGACAAAGTTCTGCCCACAGATAAGGCAACTGTGAAATAGAACTTGAAAGACCTATATGCAATACCTTAGACAAAACTTTTTTCAAAACACCAACCCCCCCATCACAAAGGGGTGGAAAGCAATTAGGAATTAAATACAGTTAACTTGCCTTTCTTGCCCTTCACTGCCACACCTCTCTAAATAAAAAAACCTGCCAAGGAACGAAGCCGGTCACAATTGTAATGGAGGAAATGAGCTGCATCAAAATTTTAGAACAATTTAGTTTTTTCCACAAGATGCCCTTGAGCAGACCAATTTCGCTGCAAAAATTGCATCTTGTTTTGAAAGAAAAGCTCTTAAAAACTATGGAACAGTTTATCAAAGTTATTCAGACTTGCCACTTAAAACCAGTTGCAATTTTTCATCTATTTCATCTAACTGTACTTCAAATTTAAGGAGAGAAAAGTATTGAAGAGGCGGTGTTGGGCTTTGTGGATTTTTGACTTGTTTTGGGGGGGGGGGGGGTGTAATTTTTGTTTTGTTTTTTAAATAATGCAGACTTTGCCTGAGGCATGTTGGAGCGAGTCCAGAGGAGGGCCACGAAGCTGATCAGAGAGGGCTGGAGCACCTCTGCTATGAGGACAGGCTGAGAGAGTTGGGATTGTTCAACCTGCAGAAGAGAAGGCTCTGGGGAGACCTTATAGCAGCCTTCTAATACCTAAAGGGGCCTACAGGAAAGATGGACGGGGCTGTTGACAAGGGCATGTAGTGACAGGACAAGGGGTAATGGGTTTAAGCTGAAGGAGGGTCAATTTAGATTAGATGTTAGAAAGAAATTCTTCACTGTGAGGGTGGTGAGGCACTGGAACAGGTTGCCCAGAGAGGTTGTGGATGTCCCCTCCCTTGAAGTGTTCAAGGCCAGGTTGGATGGGGCTTTGGGCAACGTGGTCTAGTGGAGGGTGTCCCTGCCCATGGCAGGGGGTTGGAACTAGATGATCTTAGAGGTCCCTTCCAACCGAAACCATTCTATGATTCTATGATGATTCTTAAGTTATCTGTTTCTTGAACCCATTGGCCAAGTGAAAAATTTTTATTCCTCTCATCACGTTCCTAGCTGTTACGGGTACAATTGCTCTTCCCAGTTGCTATGACTCTACTAGTCAACACTATCTTCAATGAGCTCTGATGCCTGCAAGTAATTTTGGAAATCTGTCTGCTCATTGGTATACTCTAGTCAAACAATTGGGGGCAGTGGAAAGGAAGGGGGAGACGGTTCTTTGTTTCTTTGATTTCAAAGAGGAGCCACTGTGCTAGAGGCTTCATCCTCAGAATTTCCATTAAACTCTCCTAGCCCAGAACAATACTTCTGCTACCAGTTTTCTCAAGCGTCTACATTCAACTCAGCTGCTTATGCAAGCCAAATTTAAAATGCATGAATGAAGCATAGTTTCCAAAGTTTGTATTATAGTCACATGCAAAAAATAACTTAGTCAGTGGATTTGTTCATACAGCTCAAAGCAGGTGTAATTTTAGACACTGATGAAAAAGCAACTCATACCTTGCCATGCTTTTCTATAAAGAAAACTGACAGGAGAAAGAAAATTCATCATCCTCTAATGAAGGAACAGGCAAAAACCTGTTGATATTCACCATACAGTGAAGCAAAAAGCATGACATGGAACGGACTGCTTGAAGTCATTTCAGGAATACTAAGTTTCAATCAATTTGCTAACATAATATACAGCACATTAAACAAAACTTAATACTTGCCTTAAATTATATGATTTCACACAACCCACTTTGATTGATCCATACTATCCTATATAATTCCCTAAGAACAAGTAACTTGTATCACAGTATTACAAGTCTGCCTAAAGCAGACTTTTTACATTTTTCCTGAAATATTTCTGTGCAATTTTACGTGTACTATAAAAGCTCTATGAAAAATATAAGCATTCAATGCATGAGAAAGGACGCATTCTTAAATACTAGCAAAAAAAATGTGTATCATTAAAAATATGCATGTGTGCCATAAATATATGGCAATAAATTAGGATGCAAATGTATCTATGGTATGAGTAGAAATACAGAAAAGTAAAATGTATCAGCCCAAACAAAAGTGAGGAAGATTCCATCAAGCTAGAGTTCATCAACAGATGAAGGTTTCAACTTTCCACAAAGGAAGTACTTAAGAATGAAGGACTGTAATAAAATAACCCCTCCTACTAGAAAAATTACTTGCTATTTAAACATACACCCCTTGGAGCCTAAAAGCTAAAGGACATTCCTGATGTTGTGGCAACATATTTGGAAATATTTCAGAAACATGTAGTAACTATAACATTTCAAAATCCTGACCACTGAAGTGTTTAAATGTATTGCAAAATATCTGTACAACAAGACTGAGTTGCCTCAAAAAACTGTTTTCCAAAACATGTATGTTACTTTCATGAAGATGGTGTAAAGCTCTGGTAGGTGAATTTACGTCCTGACTCAGATTAACAGTGTACAATTTTAACAAATAGTACACAAAGGAAATGTAAGAGAGATTGCTGCTCCCTGCCTTTAAAAAAAAAAAGAAAAAGAAAAAAGAAGAAACATACCACTGTAATTGGGTAGAGAGGATTCTGAATTGACAACAGGAGAACTTTATTTCCACCAGATGGGTCATCAGTGTTCCCTGGCCGAGTAATCCTCTTACTTGTTGAATAGTTGAAAAAGGCTTGCTGACCAGCAATGTATACAGGTTCATCTGCTGCAAACGTTACACATTTCTTAGCACTTTCTACGTTTTCAAATTCCACCAGAGCCTGACGCTTAAATGGCATCATCATGACATAGCTGGTGAGAGAAACATTACAGTAAGTTTTCCTATATGCTCACTCAGAACAACTCCAAAGTCCTGTAACTGTCCATGTTTTTTTCTAAACAATTCCTAACAAGGACATAAAAGGAAGGTAGGTCTCCTTGCTCGTGCTTCTCAAACCTGGTCAATACATTTCTAAAGCACTTGCACAGAACAAAGAAATGCAGCTATACCATGAATAAGTAATAAGCAGTTGTTTTCCTGAAAAAGTTTAATGCATAAAAACATTCAACCAATATAACAAACAGTTAAGAATTTACTAACTTACCAGAACTACAATTAGTATTAAAAAAACACTTGCTAGAGCCTTTTATGAAGTAAAGGATCAAAGTAAATGCAAACTATAAAACACGTTCAAAGCTGATACACAAAACATCTTCGCTGGTGCTAATAAATTTAAAAATACTATTTTTGACACAAAATTATCTTAGAGGAAATAAACAGAAGTATTCTAGTTAACCAAATTCAGACACAGACAAACTCAAGAACCTTTGTCAGCTAGTTAAATTTTTGAAAAGTAAAATTCTCAGACTAAAATGTAACTATTTGTATTCCTGAACAAGCTTGTGCTTACTTTATTTTTTTGAAGATACTGGTAGATGTATAATTCAATTATTTGAATATTAAGGCAGTGAAAAATACTACTGTACTATTTACAAGACCCTTCTGACTTCTATATGTGCAGTTACTTGAAAAGAAATGCATGTTTCCAAAAAGAAGCACTGAAAACTCAGAATAAGCTGGCTCTACCCATTCACCTTTACTATTTTGTTCACAGATGAGGAATCTTTAGGCTGTATGATCTGTGAAGGGGCTTTCTCTGAATAGCCACCTCATTCTGAAGATCGTAGCACATCACAAGCACTACTCCCATACAAAACCATAGGGAAAAAGCATCATCTGCTCTGTTGCCTATCATTTTTTGTATATTCACTTATATCAAGACAACCACCCTCCTGCTGTTCTGCAATTCAGTTTAGCTACAGCTCATTTTAAGGCCAGGACTAGCTGTGCTACTAAAGTCTGGTAACAGACACTAGGGCATGCAGACAGCGTAAGTCTGCTTGACCAGACTTGCCATGCATAGAAACACAGAATCTTCAGGCAGCTAGAAAATCTTCATGCTTTACTATTAACTAAGTTCTAGATTTCAAATGGCTATCATAATGTATTTAAAGAGGTCCAAGAGACTTTTAAATAACGCTCCCAATTTGTCCAGAGACATGACTTTATACTGCTTGACATACCATATGGTTCCAAACTTTTCAAGAGCTTCCACAAGATCTGCTTCCACAACTGATTCACACAGCCCTCGGACATGGACGACAGGAGAAACAGAGACTTTGTGATGACTTCCCCCAGCATCCTGGCAACAAAATGACATTTTAAAATTCAACACAGAACAAGGAATAATGCTATCACTAACTAAAATTAAATATTTGGCAGACACAACACTGGGTCGAGAAGCAGCCATCTAAATGTACAATCCAAGCATATTTTAAATCATTTAACTTCTCTTTCCAAACAGATTGCCAAGTTCAGTTGCTGAAGACTATTTAAAATAAAATGCTTTGCAGATTTAATTAATGCGTTTGCACAGTCAAGATTTTTCTAGTATAAAATAAAGCCTATTTAACACTTGGTTGAATTGCAGGAGGTCTTCCACCCTATTCATTAAAAGCATAAAAAAATATACTTGGACATGCACAATAGCTAAAGTATTTCTGACATCCTGTTTGCTTCTGCCAATATTTGTTTGAGACTGGCTGAGGGGATAAAAAGGCACGACAAACAAGGGCCATCAGTAAACTCAATGAAAATGTATTATTTTCCTAACGTACACAGAGCTGTGCCCCACAATGCAAGAAAATACTAGCTCTGTACTATACTTGAAATAAAGCCAACCTCCCTTCTAATTCTGAACACTCTTTGTACATGGTTTTAAAAACTCGCAATTTCTGTACATATGGGCACCCTCTCTTTTTCACCCCAAGGTTGACTACCATTAACAGATTCAGCCATTGTTCATTAGCACACAGAATTCCCAATATGGACATTTTTTTCAGAGCTGCTGCTATGACTTCAGACAGTCTTGGTTCTGTATGACTGAAGAATTCAGGTTGGAATCAGCTCATCTTTCCATGCAAAACCTGAAGCAGGGCTGAAATTTACCTTGTATATTCTAAGACAAAAAAAAGAATCAAATTATCTAAGCCAATAATGAGAGACAATCAAAGAAAGATTAGAGATAATAAAGGGCACACTAAAATATACTGTAATTACCAGCACCCAAATTTCATGCTTCTAGCAGCAGCGTAAAGTTGATGTATTCAAATTTAGCAGCTACATCAATGTGTTTGATCTAAGATATCAAGTCTTGTTGATTTTTCATTTTTGCATAAGTAGTATAGCATCTTCTGGAAGAGAGAGATATTCTCATTTGTAGCACAAAGAAGCATTCAGCTCCAGTAATTAAATAATCACAGATTGCTACTACTGCTACAGACGTTCTTCTCTTCCCTATCCGTTTGAACTACAGATTCAAGGAAAAAACTCATTCCAGATAACTACAAACTGAGTCTTGCATGTAATTCAACTGCATTCCACACACAGCTCTCCCAAAACAATTATGTATCTCTTTTCTTTAAATTGAGGATTTGACCACTCTGAAACAAAAGCCAGCACTCCAGACTTCATCAGACATCAGAACACTCTGCTGTGTAATTTTTTAAGCTTTAGCTTACATTTTGTTCATTTGCAGTATAAGAGTATTTTAAATGGTAACACATTTCTTTGAATAAGAGCTATGACAATTGTGGGAAAACACCACTAGTGATATTTGCATAAGATACCATATATCCTGAATTAATCAGCTGAGGTCTACAGTAGTAGCAGTGATCAAAGTAGTCATAAAAGGTTAATACTTTGAACTGCAAATACTTAGGCAACTGCAGAAGGAACAGAACTACACAGAGGTTTATTTTCAGCTTATATGTTCTTTACCCACATACACACTTTTCAAAGCTGTAAGCAGCACCTAAGAAAACCTTCAAAAGAAAACTAACAATAATTACCAGTTTTTCCTGCAAAGTCTAGTACTCTAAGGGATTAAGATAACAGGCACCTTTACTTTATTTACAGTCTACAGAACAATTAGAAGTTATTAAATTAATTATTCATTGCCCTGCATACTTGTTACTATATTAAGATCCTAGTTAATGCTAGGGATATGCATTTTTTTTTCTTTAACGCCTTCAAGATCTCACCTAAAAATATTTCTGTCTAATCAGATGGCAAATATAAGCAATTATTTTCTCAGTGAAGCAGACTCACTACAAAGAGCTACTTTAGTTAAAGTCAAGCTTTACATCAAGTCAAGCTTTTCAGAGGGTAGATCATAATGGAACAGCATTTCTCCATCCCTCCCCTTCCCAGTTCAATCTTTAGTTCGTGTTTCTTTGTCACACATTTTCCTTTGTATTTTTATTTATTAGCTGTCCATTTAAGCTTGCCTACTGAAGATATAAATCTAATAGTACAAACTCTCTCAAAAATACAGACTTTTCTACTTGCATCTTCAAATCCATTATACATGAGTTATAAACACATATACAGGTGTCAACACTTCTGGAATTATTCTCAGAACCATCAGCCAACACAAATTTGCTTTCTTTTGCAGTGAAAACAACACTTGTCTTCCCAAGTCAAAATTCCTTCTCCTATAACACCACATAGAAAGTATCCTTTACTAGGGTGTTGTACAGTAAGATACTTAGCAAGAATCAAAAGTCATAACACTGCTGCTATATAGTAGTAACTTACACAGAAGCTCAAGAACCATGGAATAAAAAAAAAAAAAATTAAAAAATCCCAAACAGAAAAAACAAGCCACAGAACAACCCCAAAACAGTGAAATCTCAGTCACCTGCCATAAAATTAAGGACTTATCGACATAGCATTTCATAAACTAATTTATACAGATAAAACCACTGAGCTTATAAACGGCCAAATCAGAGGGCCTCTGCTTTACTCAAAATAGTTTCTAACCAGCAGCAGTAAACAGCAGCACAAGAATCAAGCATAAGTCAGTCCTGAGCCAGGAAGCCGCAAACTAACATTCACAGAGCATACTGGTGAAAGACATGAACATGTGCCATAGGCATATGTTTGAGTGCAAAAAAATCTTCACGAAGGGCAGACATATATATTACTATCAACAAGTTTTACAGCTACCAAGCTGCAATAACAAGCAACTCTAGAATGATCCTTGATTTCCTCTAAAAGAAGAAACAAAACCACTAGACCACATGAAAAAAATCAAATGTGTCTGTAAGTGTAAAGCATCTTCACAGCTAAAGTCAGAACATACACAACTCATCCAACTGCTGCCATAATTTCTTCCCAGAGATGAAAAACGCAGGATTTTGACCAAGATCTCACGGTCACTGCATCTTGAAAACTACACGTGCTACAGTTGGCATCCAGACAAAGGTTACATCAAAGCATCTGCTCACATACAGATTAACCACCACCAGTACTTCTATGCTTACAAAGGAGTCTTTCAGTAATTTGAACTCCCACAATGGCACAAAAGCCCCATACAAAACTCCAACACGACACTTGCACTCCACCAAAGCCAGGAGAACATATTAGCTAACGTTACTGCTGTACTCATTAATATATATGGCTTAAAGGTTTTTGAAAGCTCAATAAAAATTTCTTGAAGAATCATTAGCTGGACAGAAAATGCAATTACTAAACAGATAATAGAAACAAACTTCCTTTCTAGGTGCTCAAGACCAGTAACAAGGACAGAAAAGATTTCCCTCAAGAAAGAAGCTAGGAACATAGAAATGCTTAACATTGAAACCGAACTTCTGTAGAGAGCCGAGGCACAAAGGGAAGTGCTGACATAACCAAGCAGATGAAGCACAAACAAGTTACTTCTCATACATAAGACTGCAACAGAAGCAGCTTCAAAGAACGGCTGTAGCATTTTAACATTCATTCTTGGGTGACCTAGATAGTTCTAGACAACATTTTAAATATAACCCTGGTTTCTTGCCAACAAATTATGATCTGCCATTCTGAAAAGGAAGAAAGTCATCATGGGCTCTAGGATGATGTCTCTCTTGCTCAACAATTCCAGATTAGAGAATTTTTTCACCAACTGTTTGCACGTAAATGTGTGCTTTATTCTTTCTCCAGAGGCTTTCCAGTCAGTATATTCACCTTAGTTCTATTTGTACTACCTTTTTTTGGACCATCTGCTCCTTTACCATTTCTTTGCTTACCTCCTCCATCTCTCTTTTGCTCCTTATGGCAATAGAATGGCACTCCTTCATATTCTCTCCCCCTAGGTATCTAAATATACTGTTATCTTATTTCTCACCGTTCATGTTATCTTATTCACTCTCAACTTTTTCCTCTCACTGCATCCCTCCTAAATACTCTGAAATTGCTTTTATAAATATGACAGAACTGGGGGGGGAAGCCCCAAAAGGTTGCTTATTAGGCAAGTGCCCAAAACTTCATCAATGCCTAACTATGGACTGATCTGCGTACAACTGTCTTGCACGATGTCAAGAGTAGCTAAAATTACCACACTATAAAGGCAAGGTGATGGTACACAACACGTTCCCCAATAATCTCAGTTCTGCCCACTGGGATGGTCTGATGAGGAAAGGCTTTCATAAGCAGATACACAGCACTTCATGCACACTCTTCAACTGCTAGTTGTACTACATGTTGATGGCATTACTTAAAGCTGTTTGCCCTGTCATACATCATCCCTGCTGATCGCACCTGCCTGACTTGAGCAGTTCTGTCTCCTCCCTGCAGAGGTACAGGAGACACCTCTCTGTGCCACCTGGAACTCCTGTAGCTTTGCAGTGACAACAGTATTTCCAGCACACAGTGAAGTAAGATAGTGTCTCAGAAGAATCAAACAAACAGGACAAAGCTCAGGTTCCATGGCAGGAGAAGAATACACCAGTTTTGTATATCCTGGATTTTTTATTGTTGTTGTTAGTGGTTGGTTGGTTTTGGGGGCTAAGGGGCATTTAGGCAGGAGAAGAGGGTTGAGGTTAGTGACACCCCATATTCTGGAAGGCTACCTGGCAATTTAGTTTTGTTCTGAATGTGGAGTTTGGGGTATCATTTCTCTTGTTTCATGCATACCTCTTCCTAGCACTCTCTAGCACTGTGTCTTTTCAATGATTACAACTTCTACAGAATGGAATATGGGCACTCTGGCCCCTTCTGCTAATTCTGAATCTACCCTGAAGTGGTCAGGCAGTTGGACTAGATGATCGTTCTATGTCCCTTCCTACTGAAATACTCTATTCTACTTTCCTCTCT